CGAACCTTTACGATTTTTCCTTTTTTTTTTTTTTTTTTAGAAAATATAAGAGCAGAGAGTCAAATGTTCGTTTAACAGTTTTGATTAATCTTAAAATTTTCCAAGTTTTTTATACATGTGGAGGAAAGAACATGCTATTTTCAAGGATTATTCGTAGCATTCTATTAATCTATTTGCCTAGTTATTTTTGAAATTAGTTTGTTTTATTATACACAGATGTTATAAATATTATTATTATTAACTTACTGAAATAAATAAAACTCTGGATAGAATATAAATTATAAAACTGCATGTAAGAATTAACAATAAAGTTTATCATTATTTATCTATTTGTTTACATCTATTTACTTATGAGATATATAAATACAAATAACTGTAGAAAATAATACTCTAAATACATTTAAATGTTCGATTTGAACAACAAAAATTTTATATGAAACAAACTATATTTATTTAATTCTTTTATTGAATCTACTATTTGCAAATTGAATAGTGGATATTGTCAAACTGTATTACTTGATTTCCATAAGTATAATTGCATTTAATATCTAAAAATGTTAAGGAATCATACCAAGGTTAATTTTTCTTCATATATACTTCTTCATATATTCTATTAGAAAATAATTAATTTAAAAAATGTTTATTCTTTAATTTTATACAATTTAACATTTGAAAAATAATATATATATATATTCATCTGTTCTTTCATAAAGTTCATCACGAAAATTATATTAAATTAAACTCATTCTATCAATTATTGAAATTGATTCGAGCGATTTGCGAAAGAAAAATTTATTGAGATCTCCTTAATTCGACACCAGCCATGGGACGTGTTCAATTAACGAGGCTCCACGTATAATTTGTAGCAACCGAATTAAACATTACAACACATAACTTACATATCCACGATCTAAATAAAGATCGTATCGCGTGTAAATTCGTAAAATTAATCGATTATACGGTTTAACCAAATATTTTCGAATTTTTCATTCGAAAAGAAATGAAACGTATCCATCTGATGATAAATTCGCGAATAATTGCCAAAGAGACAGCTACAAATTATTCGATCAACCGACTGAAGACACGTTTTTCTACTTTACAGATGACGTTGCAGGTTTCCTGGGTCCGGCATAGGGACGTCCATCTGCTCACTATCGGCCGTTACACGTACACGAACGACCAACGATTCAGGCCGATCCACAATGCGCAGACGGACGACTGGACATTAGAAATCAAATATCCGCAGCTTCGGGACAGCGGTTATTATGAGTGTCAAGTATCAACGACGCCGCACATGAGTCATATCGTGTATCTGGATGTGATCGGTGAGTTTTTCTTAAAGAGTAACATTTTCTCGTGGCATTTAGTAGATTCGAAAGATCGTTCGAAACGAAATTTTTCATTTAATGCAGAGTTTATATTGATATTGATATAAATGTTACATATTTTTATTAAGAAATGAATTTTTAAAAAAAAAACTTATCGTAGTTATAAATATAAATTGTGAGAAACAATAGTGTAACAAGAATCGAATAATAATATTTTTGTATAATGGATTTCGATAGGCATGTATCATAAAAAATTTATTTATTACACAGTGTTTCCTATTGACTGGATACTTCAGGAAGGATGAAAAAGTTATCAAAAGTGATTTTTTGAATAATAGAAGAGATTTTAAAATTTTATTCTTTTTAATGAAATTATATAAGAGATAGTTTAATTTGATATTTAAAGTTTATCATATGAAAGACAAGGAAAGCATGATCACATTACACTTTCCTCATAATATATATTCAAACTTATTATAATTTCATTTAAAAAAATGAAATTATTCTAAAAATTTCTCCCGCTATTCTTAAGTCAAACAATTTGTGTTAAAAATAATTATTTTAATCACCATTTTATAACACTCTTCATAACAAAGTTAAAAACTTTTTTTTACGTGTATATCCTATATATTTCCAAAATTTAATTGCATATCAATGACATTAGAAAATTTCGAAGATAAGAGGTCCAACTCAAAAATTTCCAACTCGAAGTTTAATTCAAAACTACGATACGTACTTGATCACTGATCGAAAACTCCAAGTTTCTTGAGCATATATTTCCTCCTCTAATGAGATGAATTTTGCATCTGTGACATCTAAAAGTAAGCCAAGATTTTTGCATAACTTGGAAGAGTGATTGAAAGCAGTCCATCATCGTCGTATGATTTTTAATTAAACGTTGCAAGGTGGGCTGATCGCATACGCAACAATTAGTTAATTCTAATCTGAATCTGCCCCAGTTACTTGGCCATTGCGCGAAATTTAAGCCAAGCTTAAATCCTGGCACAGTGCCAATTGAACACCTGGGATTGGTTGATACCGATTTCGAGCTAAGCCACGACATCGAACAAGGGTTTGATTACGCGAGATTACTTCCCCAACTTGAATTCCGACTGGTTAAGCTCTGTTTTCTATTCCTCGCGAAACTGATACGAGTGCACACGAAACACGGCAATCGTTACTCCCACTATCTTCTTAATCGGTATTTATACTCGTGGGACGATCCTTTATAGGTCGTTACAATGGATTACCTGCTACAATTAATTTCTCTGCCAAATGTTAATCACTTCCGAGTACTCGCTCATTGGATCGCGCGTCCATTATTGGCTGGAACGTTTTACATTTTCGCGATTTTAAAAATGTTATATGTTACAGGAATATATGTGAAACGAAAAATAAATTCAGGTCCTATTTTCTATTTTATTTCGTTTATATTTTGCGTTAAAAAGTAACGAGCGTTGATTCGTTATTTTATTAGAAATGACAGTGTTATGAGAAAATGTAATGTTTTATGCGTGATGTAGAAAGGTAGTGTAAGTAGTATAATGTATTTTGAAAGTTTGTTCCGGAAAATTTGAAAGATTTTACAGTTTAATTTAGAAAATGTGAAGAAAAACGATGTGAATAACGTAACTCGTTATAAATCGGACAAAAACGAATTTTATATTTATTAAATTTTAATTTTGTAAACGTTTCTTCTTAAAAATTTTAGAATTTAAAAATTTTAGAATAAACATTTTGAGTTCTTTTTTAATATAATTAATCGAATTAAAGTATATATTTTTATAAAATAATATTTATACACGAAAATGAATTTGATTTTCAATAATTTTCTAAAAAATTAGCGAACTTTATGTTTATGATCTTTTGATTTCACTATTCTTTGACCATTCATCAACCCCATAAAGCTTGCAAACTTATTCCGTTATAGAATTTATATTTTACAATCTACAAGAGAAAATGTTAGTGCTTGCCCAACGAATGTCTTGCGTGAAATTTGCCCTAAAGATATCTACCATTTTCTTTAACCTAAAATTCTAGTTTCAATTACCATTCTTTATTTGTATAGAAGGAAACTATTTCCATATAAAAACTAATCCAATTAAAAAATCTATAAATCAGAAAAAGATAATAGCATATTAAATATAATATAAAAAATTGCTTGCGTTTTGAAGGAAAACAATTTTCTTAAAAACGAGTCCGTTTAGCCAGCATTTATGCAACTAGAACCCGAGTGCTCGAAAAAAAAAAAAAAAAAGAAAAAAAGAACGAACGAAAGAGAAAGAACAGGAAAAGAATGGCGACGTTGTTTAGCCATTCACACGTTAAACGTTCTTTGTTCTCCTGGTTTTACCTTTCTAAGTATTACTTATAGCAAGGAACGTGATACTGTGTCAAAAACTTTTAGCCCCTACTTACGAAACAACTTACATTCTGTGCAAAGTACGTAGTATTACGTTATCTGTTACGAAATTATAGCAAACTGGAATAAAAATTTTTATTTACATAATTTTTGTGAAAAATTTTTAAGGAAATTCATACATTCACAATTTGTTTAAGAAATAAAAATTCAAATTTTTTACATTAAAAGAAAGCTTTATATTCGATTGAATCTGCAACAATCATCTTATTTTTGTGAAACATGCAATTGCAAAAGATCATTAAAATATAGAAATTATTATTAATCAAGATATTTTCAGCTTTCTATGATTAAAATAATTATTTTTTTAAAAATCTCTCGAGTTTCTTATTTTATTCAATTTTGAGATATTGAAATACTTTTAATTAGAAAGTGACCTGAGAAAAAAATATAAAAAATAAAAAATTTTTTAAATTTTTCATACAATTTTCTTACACCGTCCAATGGAGGAAAGAATAAGCTGTAATAAAATTGAAACTTTAATGGCTTCAATCATTAATATTTTAAGAAACAATACTATTACTGTTTGTCTAAAGACAATCCATATTTTATTAATTTCCATCTAAACGTTATATTTTATTGTTAAGCAAAATACAAAATGTAATACAACTATTTACAAAACATAATGGAAATTAATTAAAATTAATCACATTTTATATTTCATTTGCTGTTGCTGTTTTTCTCCATGCTAATGCAATCAAAATAATCTCATCGTCAGCCAATGAAAAGGTATTGCTAATAAGTTTCGCGACACGACAATTATTCCAAGGGAATTTACACTCCAATTTGTGCATTTGTTTCGCGCGTCAAAGGTTGTTCAGTCTCGATGTAAACAGCCACGATGAAAACGAAACAGTCGCGTTAAGATCTTCAACGTCTATTCTCATTTCTCTTTCTTGTATTGCACCTTTATAACCATTTTGCCCCAAGACGAAGGGCAAGTAGCTCTCTGGCAACCTTTAATAACATCGTTTCTGTCACCTCTAAGACCGGCAAATTTACTCGAGAAAACGGAAGGAAATACGATGAATTCTAGCCGATAAGAAGCTGGACAGAAATGGATAGAGTAACGACGATGAAACGTCGCGTTAATGAAAAATAATGTCTAAGATCCTTATTAGTGTTTTCATTAACCTTTATTATTATAGAGGCGGCAAGGTTACGAGCCGACGTTCTCCCCTTACGTGACCGTATTAAGGTAAAAATATGAACAAAAGAATAACTTGTAACCCGATGTTACGTTCACGTTGTAAAATTATTGCATGTTGGAGGAAAGCGAAGAAGCTTGATAAAATAAAATTTTGTGTTGATTGTTATTTTTTATGTTACAATTAAAATATTCGATGCATTACAATTTTGATAATTGTAAATGACGATGTATTAAAAATTCATCAAGATCATGAAATTGTAAAGATTTTGATGGTTGTTCATTAAAAATTTGTTAATAAAAATAATTTAGATTAGATTAGGTTATGTTAGATCATTGTCAAAAAATTATTAACCTAATCTAATTTAATCCAAGTTTAATAAAAATCATGAAACAAGAACATTTGTTTGACAATATCAATTATCATAATTTTTTGAATGAAATTTAAATACGACAAAACATAATTATTTTTTATATATTTTCTTTTGTATATTCGTTCATTACATTTTTCGCCATTTTACTTATTAATTTTTCATATTTATCAAAAATTAATATCCGCCATTTCTTCGATTTTTAATATGTCAAATATGTTATTAATATTACAACAAAAGAAAATCAGTGATCTCAAATTTATTTTTTTTTAACTTTAAGAAAGTAATCGCCTTTTTTATCCGAAACACTTGTTTAATTACTTATAAATCATAAGAAACGCAAAGATATCAAAAAAAATAGTTTGAACGAAAGTTGTACTTATTACTATTTAAGAAAATCTTTGCAACAAATTTCCAAAAAAGAGAACATAAATATTTTTTCAAAATAGTCACTATTTTTATATATAATCGGACAATTATGCGCATTAAAAATCATTAAAAATGTCGTTCATTTGTCTAATCAAATATTATAAACAGAAAAGCAATTACTTGAGTTATATCGTGTTACTTGCGAACATTGATGTCCTTCATTCTCTCCCTCCGTCGAAATGAGAGATTACATAAAATCGACGATTGCGACGAGAACGAAAACTATTTTATTGGCTCAGGTTTGCCCGCGAGATTTGGATCTAATTCGCAAGGAAATCAGTAAATTGATTGCAGGTGGGTAAATATTGCTTGGTACTATCTTCAAGTAGATGGATTCCAAACTTTCGGTAGCGAAGGCAGTTCGCAAATATTGCCACTTCCTCGCCCCGAGTTCGATGCTTATACAGGAAATCGGGCTCCCGTTTGCACACTATTATTGCTGCGCCTCGCCATCTTCGCGGTGTCTTCGCGGTTTTAAACTTTAAAGCACGACGATTTTCTTCTGACGAATATTTCGTGAAAACGTGAAAATATTGAAATTTTAGGAATGCGAGTTCTTCGATAGAAAATAATTTCTATGATGTACTTTAAAGAAAAATTCTTATAATGTTATTGTATTGATAAAGTTTGT